AATGAGCCTTAATAGATATATAAGACCATTACATTCCAAAACAGCAGGATACTCCTTTTCCAATGCACATGGAACATTTCTCCAGGATAGATCATGTGTTAGGCTACAAAACAAGTGTTAATAAATTTAGGAAGATTGATGTCATGAAAGCATCTTTTCCAACCACAACACTATGAAACTGAAAATCAACTACAGGAAAAAAACTGGAAAGAAAGAAACACATGGAGGCTAAACAGCATGCTACTAAACAATGAATGGGGCAAGAAAGAGGAAATTAAAAAATACTTGGAGAGTAATGAAATTAGAAATACAACAATGCAAAATCTTTGGGATACAGCAAAAGCAGTGCCAAGGGAAGTTTATAGCATTACAGGCCTACCTCAAGAAACGAGAAAAAATTCAAACAATCTAACTCTACACCTAAAGGAACTAGAAAAAGAACGAAAAGGAAGGAAATGATAAAGATAAGAGCAGAAATAAATGATATAGAGACTAAAGTAATAATACAAAAGATCAACAAAGCTAAGAGCTGGTTCTTTGAAAGAAATAAAATCAATAAACTTTTAGTCAGCCTTAAGAAAAAAAGAAGGGGGCTCAAAGAAATAAAATCAGAAGTCAAAGATGAGAAATTACAGCTGACACCACAGAGATACAAAGGATTATCAGAGAATACTACAAAAATTATATGCCAGCAAACTGGACAACATAGAAGAAATGGATAAATTCCTGGAAACATGAAATCTCCCAAGACTGAACCAGAAAGAGACAGAAAATATGAACAGACTGATTACGAGTAATAAAATTGAAGCAGTGGTCAAAAAACTCCCAATAAAAATAATTCTAGGGCCAGATAACTTCACAGCTAAGTTCTACCAAACATTTAAGGAAGAGTTAATGCCTACCCTTCTTGAAGTATTCCAAAAAATAGAAGAGGAGGGAATACTTCCAAACTTTTTCTATGAGTCCAGTATTACTCTAATAGCAAAACAAAAGACACTACAAAAAAAATCATAGACCGATATCTCTGATGAACACAGATGCTCAGCAAAATCTTCAACAAAATATTAGCAAACTGAATTTAAAAGATACATCAAAAGTCTCATTTATCACAGTGAAATGGGATTTATTCTAGAGATGCAAGCATAGTACAATATCCACAAATCAGTAAATGTGATATACTGCATTAACAAAAGGAAGGATGGAACCATATGGTCATCTTAATAGATGCTGAAAAAGTATTTGACAAAATTCAGTATCAGTTCATGAGGAATACTCTCAACCAAGTGGGTATAGAGGGAACAAATCTCACATAATAAAGACCACATACAAACCCATAGCAAACATCATATGCAATTCAAAATACTAAGCCTTTCCTCTAAGATAAGTAACAAGACCAGAGTGCACACACCACTTTTATTCAACATAGTCCTACAAGTCCTGGCCGCAGCAATCAGATAAGAAAAAAGAAATAAAAAGCATCTAAGTTAGTAAGGAACAAGTAAAATTGTCACTATTTGCAAGTGACATGATAATATTTATCGAAGACTATAAAGGCCCCACCACAAAAGACCACTAGAATGAATAAATGAATTCAGCAAAGTTACAGGAATATGAAATTACTATACTGAAATCTATTACATTTCTATGTACAGATAATTAACAGAAAGAGAACTTAAGAAAAAAATCCCATTTACAATTGCATTAAAAAGAATAAAATACCTAAGAATAAATTTAACCAAAGAGGTAAAAGACCTGTACTTGAAAACATTGGGTCAGTGGTAAGATGTTGATGAAAGAAATTGAAGAAGACACAAATAAATGAAAAAATGAAAAGCTATTCCATGCTCATGGATAGGAAGAATTAATATTGTTAAAATGGCCATACTGTCCAAAGCAATTGACAGATTAATTGCAATCCCTATCAAAATATCAATGTCATTTTTCACTGAACTAGAACAAATAATACTAAAGTTAGTATGGAACTCAAAAAAACCTGAAATATAAGACAAAGGAGGCAAGACTGTACCATGGAAAAAATACAGTCTCTTCAATAAATGGTATCGGGAAAACTGAAGAGCTACTTACAAAAAATGAAAGTGATCCTTGTCTTCTTACACCTGAACTAAAATAAACTCAAAATGGAATAAAGGACTGAATTTAAGACTTTATGAAACCATAAAACTTCTAGAAGAAAACATAGGCACTAAATTCTTAAACATTGCACTAGTAGTTTTTTCTGGATATGTCTCCCCAGATAAGGGAAATAAAAGCAAAGATACACAAGTGGGACTACACCAAACTAAAATTCTTCTGCCCAGCAAAGGAAACCATCAACAAAATGAAAAGAAAGTCTACTGAATGGGAAAGATTTGCAAATGATATATCTGATGAGGGGATAATATCCAAACTGTATTGATACAACACCAAAAACATGGATAGTCTATTAAAAAATAGGCAGAGGACCTGAATGGTCATTTTTCCGAAGAAAATGTACAGATGGCTAACAGATGCCTAGAAAGATGTTCAATGTCACTGAACATCAGGAAATGCAAATCAAAACCACAGTGAGGTATCACCTCATACCAATTGGAATGGCTTATATCAACAAGACAAGAATTAACAAGTGTTGGAGAGAATGTGGAGTAAAAGGAACCCTAATACACTATTGGTGGGATTGCAAATTGGTGAGGCCATTATGTATAACAGTGTGGAAGTTTCTCAAATCTAAAAATAGAAATAGCATATGACCCAGCAATTCCACTTCTGGGAATTTTCTCAAAGGAAACAAAATCACTTGTGTTAAAAGTTATTTGCACTCCTTTGTTTATCATAACATTATTTACAATAGCCAAAATAAGGAACAACCTAAATGTCCACTGATAGATGAAAACATAAGCAAGATGTGGTTCCTACATATAATAGAATATTACACAGCCATGGAAAATGAAATATTGCCATTTGTGACAACATGGATGGGCCTAGAGGGTATTACCCTAAGTGAAATAAGACAGAGAAGGACAAATACCATATGTTTTCACTTATACATGCATTCTAAAGAAAACCGAAAACAAACTACTGAAATAGATGCAAACATAGGGAACAGACTGAGGGTTGACACAGGGAATGGGGGTAGGGGTAAGGGTAAGATAGGTGAAGGGGGAAAACTTAGAATGTTTAATATCTTGATCTGGGTGATAGTTAACGGTGTGTACACATGTCAAAATTCTTCAAAGTGTGCACTGGTATGTGCATTTTATTGTATGTATTTCACATTAAAATAAAAATGTTCATACTGAAAAAAAACCCCACAGTTATGTCATTACCTTCATTACCTTTGATAAGTAAGCATTAGTAAACCATGTAACCATGTATAGATTTTAATAATACTTCATACCATTTTTTGATGAAAATTACGGTGTTAGAATACAACAGCCTACAGCTTTAAAGTGTTCCCTTTAAGTGTCCATTCTTTTGATGAAAACCAGGCTACAAGTTGATTTATGTATTTTTGTTATTTAACCTATATTTCAAATAGGTGATTCTGTTCTAATGTCAGTTGTTCCCGAGACCACCCGCAGAGTCAATTATTTACTAGGAGATGTCACAGTATTCAGCATATAATCCTACTGACAGTCATAATTTATTACAATATTAAAGTATTTGTATTAAAGAATGCAAAAAAAATGGCAAAGGAAAAACCTCATGGATTGAAATCCATAGAGAATGAGCAGCTTATAAGAGTCCTCTCCTAAAGGAGTCTTGCAAGACTTGCTTAATTCCTTTAGCAACAGGTCATGACAGCGCTGTGAAATGTTATCTACCAGAGAGTTCATTAGAGACTCAGTGTCCAGAGTTTTATTGGGGGCTGGTCACAGAGGATATCCTTTGTTAAGCAGGTGCCAAAAGTTCCCAGAAAGGAAGCAGGTATTCATCATAAACTATATTGTTTGTACAAACAGTTTAGGCAGAGTAAGCCACTCATCAGTTCTGGAAGTGGTGGAACCCTACTGAAATCCATTTACAGATGTCAGCCAAGAGCTGGACTTTTGTTTGTGGGAGTTTTTGATTACTGATTCATTGTTGCTAGTAATCAGTCTGTTCTTATTTTCTATTTCTTCCTGGATCAGTCTTGAGAGATTGCATGTTTCTAGGAATTTATCCATTTTTTCTAGGTTGTCCAGTTTGTTGTCATAAAAACTTTTGTAGTTATATCCTATAATCCTTTGTATTTCTGTGGTATCAATTGTAACTTCTTGTCTTTCATTTCTGATTGTATTTCTTTGAGCCCTCTTTCTTTTCCTCTTGAGTCTGACTAAAGGTTTATCAATTTTGTTTATCCTTTCAAAGACCCAACTCTAGTTTCATTGATCTTTTCTATTATTTTCTTAGTCTCTATTTCATTTATTTCTGCTCTGATTTTGATTGGCTTTCATTACCATGAGGTTCATATATAGGAGCAGGAGATAAAATTATTTTTTGAATCATTTTTCTCCTTTACATGGAATGCTGTCTGTATTTTTAATATTTTAACTGTATTGTTTATAGTATATTTCAAAGAATATTGTTTTAGAGCAGGCTTGTAGAAGAAATGGCATTTAAGACAGACTTTTAAATAGCTAAGTTTTGATCAATGTAGACAGGGGAAGATATCAAGGTCAATGGAGGTATGCAAGTATATATGATCCCAGGGATATAGTGGGCCTTGAAATATCATCTGAGTCTTAATTTAGGGGTCTTGATTGCTAGTTGAGCCTTGTTATGCTGTATAATCTCTAGCTAGTTTATATGATTTTAATCATATATCCACTTGTAGAGGTGGTTTAGAATAGAATGTATCAGGCATGATTTTTTCAGTCCATTTGTGTGACCATTCCTAGTATCAGTTAAAGATCAATTTTTATAATAACCAGTTTGAATTATCACATTATATGCATAGTTATATGACATTTTCATAATTCACCTTTTACCAATTAACGAATTTTTCATCCTTTCAATTATAGTGATTTGCAAGGAGTAAGAACAAATGCCAAAAAAGATGGAAGTGACTGGATTCTCAATGGAAGTAAGGTGTGTAAATAACGGCTTCCATAGCCCTTCTCTCCAGAGTTGCGCCAGGACATTATAACAATATCTCAAAGACTACTTATTATTGGTTCTATCAGATCTATGGACTCACATGAATTGAATTTACTTAAGTTGTTCTGTTTTAAAGACAGAATTTTGCAACATTTTTACCACATGAGATCTGTTCCTCTTCTATGTGCCATTTTGTATGCCCTCACTGGTATGGCAAATGTTGTTTTAGCTTCCAAACAGCCCTTATCAAACCAGAAAAGGGAACATTAAGGCTCAAATTGCCCAAATTTGGGACAAAAAAAAGTTAATAGTTAATTAACTTAATGTTGATGATAAATTAGGGATAAGACTTCTCGTAAATGTTGAGTTTCAGAAGCTCTCAGGAAAAGAAGGATATTTTTTATAGAAATTGAGAACACTTTAATCCTTCTGAGAATCACATCAACCCACTGATAGAATCGGAAAGCCCCTCCAATTAAGTTTACAGATGAGCTCGAGTAAATGTATCCTTTAGAATCTAGTATCACCGATGACAGATTTTTGTTTACCTCTGTTTACCTTCATTTCCCTTTGTTTAGTTTTAACTGGTATGTACTCTGTAAAACTTTGTTGTTGACTGAGTGTTAAGGAAAGATGTTCATTTTCTACTCTAAGGAAGTCTTTTTTTTGGAAATATGTTTCAAAGCCTGTTGAAGGACTAACTTTTCTTTCTTTTTCTTTAAAAATTTAAAAACATTTTCTGATATGTTTTGAATTTGAAAATCACTAACTTCAATATTGTGACACTTTCAAATCGTTACAAAATTTTCTAAATACTCTCAGTTTCTGTACTTACATTATCCAGGACTGATACTAGTCTGAAGAACACATTTTGAGAGGCACAGTTCTAAAGACCATGATCTAATTTCATAGTTATCATACATAAAACAGTATCTATGATAAGATAACAGATATGTTTGGAAAATGTGCACAACTTCTCATGCTGCTATGCTGCTATGCATTGTGAACCTTTCAAGTTGGATATTGTATGTCTTACATCCTAGGAATTCTCTTTTTATTAGCCTTGTTCGAACGTACTTTAAGAAATATTAGTCTAAATTTATTCATCCTCCTAAGATTGTAATAAATAAGTACTAATTCCAATATATAATGAATTAAGTCTCTCTACCCAGGGGGATTGTTTTGACACACAAGTGGGAACCACCCTCTGTGACTCCAGCTTTCTAAGCAGGCCCCGTATGCTCAGTTAGAGTCTTCTGTGGGAACTACCCAGGACAGTACCACTGACTCTGTTTTCAGCAGTCTTTAGGAATAACACAAATTTTAAGGAAGCCAAGGTAAAGGAATAAATGTAGTACATCCATAAGATGACCTAATTTGCACCCATGAAAGTGTCGACACAAAGTTTTTAACAGTATAGGAAACTAATTATGTTAAGTGAAAAGATCATATTAACATTTAAGTGGAGAATGCACACAGAATGTAAATGTAGAATAATTTAAGTACAATAGAAGAAAAGACTGGAAAGGAAATTCATAATGATATCTGTATGTTAGACTCATGGAGAATTTTTTTGCCCTTTTGCTTTTTTAACAATATACTGTCTATACAACATTTACAATGAGCTTGGGTTATAAGCATTCAGTGACCAAAAAGAAATTATATTGGCCCCCAGTAGGAATAATTCCAGATCTATTAAAATTTTGACTGCCGTTATTCGGAAATAAATTGAGAAAGTCTTCTTACAAAAAGAATTCTCTTATAACTTTATTAGAAAAGGGGATCAATCATGGTGGACATATATTTTGTCAGGCTATTGCAGAAATGGTTTCGAATCTATTAACTTTCTTCTGTAATTATGTCTAAGAACTGGGAACTGCATTTGATTGAGAGCAGAGTGTTAAAATGAACAATTCTTGCCCTTTCCTTTCCATTCCATTGCCTGTTCATTATCTATGTCTGAGACCATGGATTTACAGCATATAGGTTATAATTCCTGGATGCTGTGTGACTCAGAAAAAACCCACCATTTCAGCAATTCAACGGTGATAACTACACAAATGGTCATTATTATCTCAGAAAGGTAGGAAATTGGGAAACCTCAGAGGTTTTTGAGCAAGACAGTATTATAAAGGAGCAGTACTGTAGACAAAATATTTTTGCCATGCTATATAGAAATCTTTTTGAGGAATATGTTTTTCTCATTTATTCAACAAACATTCTTGAAGGCCTCCTATAGGCCAAACACTATTGTGAGCACTGAGAAGAGACATATGAAAAGGAAATAGTCCTTACCCTCAGGGAGCTCCTAGTACAGAGAGATGTTGAAGGTCTTTTATTTTTGTCACTTAACAAGCCACCATCACCACCTTTATCTCTTGTCATTTGACACTAATATCATTTACCATTATTTATGTGTATCATCACTGTGGATTTAGAGCATAAATCTTATAAAGGGCATTGATGTTAAGTGATGAGAATAACCAACACCATTTTATGCTCCTGCTTTGAAGGGATAGAGATAAAAATAGATCATTTGAATATAGTTAGATAAATGTTAAGATAATGGTAAATTCAAGGTGTTATGGGAGTACTTAACCCAGGCTGGGCAATTTAGGAAAACCCTCTGGAAGAGGTGATGTCTGAACTTAGTCTAAGATGAGTAGGATTTTTTCTAGCAGAACTGAGAAAGGGCCTCCCATGAGAGGAAACAAGATTCCCAAAGACCCATAGTAAGTGAGACCTTGAAATGTGGAGGATAGCAAGGAACTCAGGAGGGCTGACCCGGAGACAGGGTGTGAGGGAAAGTGGGACAAGAGGTATAGCAGGACTGCCAAGCTAGTACCACTTTGTGATGAGTTTTACATGCCTTGCTAAGGGTTTAGAATTTATCCTGAAGCCCACTAGGAAGTTTTCAAAGATTTTTAAATGTGAAAGTGATATAATTTTTAAATAAGATTCACATTTTAGAAAAATCTGTTGACATCATGATAGATAATAAAGCTACAGAGAAATCAGTTGTCAGAACTTACGCAGGAAATGATGAGGGCCTGAAATAAGGTCATAGCAATAGAAGTGAAAGGAAGCAAATAGATATAAAAAGTGTTGAAATGGATTTGAGAGAACTAGATGTCAAATTGAATATGAACAGGATGATAACATGATTTATTGGCACCATTCATTGGGATAGTGAAAAAAGATTGATAGTCAGGATTAGATAGGAGTAGGGGTAGAAGGAATATGTTCTGCCTGATTCATCAGGTGAATGATCCAGAAGCAGGTAGTTATACAGGTCTAGAACCTAAGAAAAAATTTGGCTTAGATAAAGGTTTGGAGTCATCAGCATATAGATGGTAATGACAGCCATGGAAGTGATTGTGGTAACCTGGAAAAGATGCAGAATGATATTTGCTCTGGTGTATTTGTTTTCTGAATAAATATCATCTGATAACCTAATATCTCTTACTTAGTTTGTTATTTTATCCCTCAATTTAAAAAATTCTGTCCCTTATTATTTTTTCATTTTTTACTTTATCCTTTATGTAGGTCTTCTAAAAAAAAAGTAGGCCATCCATCATGAAAATGAAAACTATGCCTTATCAAAACTGGTCTGAGAGTACAAACACTTTCATTGTATAGAGCCTTTTTGAACAGATTCTTTTTTCTCACCAGCAGCTTCTTTCTAAAATACAGTTTATCATTTTTATAGACAATTTTGTTTTAGTTTGAAAATAGCATAAAATCTGTTACTTATTATTATTTACAATATTAAGAGTGGAAAGAAAATGCATAGGCTTCATTTTGGAGCATTGAGTTATTTTATTCCTGCTCTTTAACAACTTCATGCCTGAATAATCGACAGCGCAAATATTTGGATAGAATACAGAGAGAGGTATAAAGCATGTCTTGTCTTGTTTAGTCTTCTTGAATGTACTTTCTCTCAGTCAGGACTTGCACATGGATCTAAATTATTGTGGGGAGGATCACAATATACTTTGGGTTTTGCAGGTATTCATCACTAATGGGTGGTTAAGTGACGTTGTGATTGTGGTGACAGTCACAAATCGTGAAGCTCGCTCTCCTGCCCATGGAATTAGCCTTTTTCTGGTGGAAAATGGAATGAAAGGATTTATCAAGGGAAGAAAGTTACATAAAATGGGATTAAAAGCCCAAGTAAGTCATAATATAAATCGTATTCAAGTAATAGTTGAATTTACTTAATTATTAGTAAGTTATTAATTATAAGTAATCAAGTTTACTCAATTATGCCTTATGTATAGAACTGCATATAGCCAATTATACCTTTTTATGCTGAATTCCTAAAATATGCTTTTCAGAAATGGTAATGGGAATATGTTCCAGCATTTATGCAGCATTATGTCTCTTTCTGATGGTCAGCAATGGAAGTGAGGATATTTTGAATAACTGCTTCAGAAGTGGCACAATTAACTGCAAGATAATAAGCCCTCTGTTTATGAAATTGAAGAAAATTATGAAATAAGAAGAGAAAATACTTTTCTATTATTTGGTTATTGGTAATTTCTCTCATTACCAAAAACAAAATATGTTTTACTTAATATGTATTAGAAATCCTTAGTTTTCAGTACCCGCAGAACTGGGGCTAGAATGACAGTGTATTACAGTGAAAAGGCTACTGGTTTTAGAAGGAGATGGACCTGGGTTTGAATCCCTGGTTTACCACTTTGTAGTTGTATTAATTAACCACTGCAACTTGGCTTCCAATTTGTTTTGTATTGTTTTTCTAAAATGGAAATAGTAATCATCTCAGAGAGTTATAGGGAGATTTCAGTGAGATAATTCTCTACTTAATTGTATGCTGTCTTAGGATACTGCAGAGTTATTCTTTGAAGATGTGCGGTTGCCAGCTAGTGCCCTACTTGGAGAAGAGAATAAAGGCTTCTATTACCTCATGCAAGAACTTCCACAGGTCAGAAGTATTAAAGATTACATCTTATGATTATATGATTAGATGCTGGACTGGACTATAATAATATAGAACTACATAAAACATACAAAACATGATACAGCCAGTTATTTGACTATAACTTAAAGTCATAAAAAAAATGAATTTTGTAGGCTAGATAAGTAGATGAATGGACTCAGGAATTTCCAACCCAAACATATAAGTGAATAGGGAAAATAGGTGTTTCACTTCTGATTCTTGGAATGATTTAAGTGTCTTAACTACAAGTCAAGAATTCTTAGCTTTTTATAAGGAGAGAGGCATTTGGCAGGTTTTTGTGTGTTTCTTTCTTAATAATACCTGGGAATCAAAGAGGAAAATCACTGAATTTAGACTGAAAAGTAAGCCACATAGGGTCAACCCTCATATCTGTGTTTTGTGAGTACGGTTGCTCAGTGATCATTGAATCTCACGTGCCAGCATGAGAGGGTGCATTTGCCTAGTGACTGACACAGCATGAGTTAAACACAGAGCTAGAGACAAGGGCTAGGAAGACTGGCATGGAAAGAGAATACAAAAATCACTAGCCCTAGTAGGCAAAATTTAACCTTATGTGCTTTCAGATATTGATTTCCAGATAGGATGTTGATTCCATATAATAGAATGCATAGTGCTTGGAGATCAATAAATAAAAATCAACAACTTCAGAATTTCTTTTCTCATACATGAGTAAAGAGAAGAGGGGATTAAAAAAATACATATCTATCTATAAATATATATAGTAAAGACAGTCATGAAAATAAAGGATTTATTTTAGAAGGATTTATTTTAGAGAGTGTTATAGATATGTCAAAATATTCTTACATATCTTTATGGGAGCCTTATAAAGTAATCTTTAGAAGTTTTATGAAGATTATTTATGGGATTTATTATTATTGAAATCATGTGAAAATCATTTATAATTAGAATAATAATCAAGACCTAATTTTGGGTTATAGGAAAGACTATTGATTTCTGAGTTGGCAGTTTCAGCCAGTGAATTCATGTTTGAAGAAACCAGGAACTATGTTAAACAAAGAAAAGCTTTTGGGAAAACAGTTGCCAATATACAGGTAAGTTTGTCACAGTTTAGTATTACATGATATTGATTTAACTCATCTGAAATTGGTCTGGGATAAACATAAATAATGGAATAATCTCCATTTAAGTGGTATTAGAAACTATGGAAATGAATGAGATCACTGAGGGAGAGAGAGTAAGGAATAAGGTAAAATAAGAAGAGGTCCTAGGACAGAGTCCTGAGAAAACAAGATTTAAAGATACAATTGGAAAGGAAGAGCCTACAAAGACAATTGAGAATGAACATGTAGAAAGAAGGAAGGAAATCAGGCAAGTATTGTCACAGAAACCTAGAGAGAAGAGAATTTCAAGTAGGAGGGAGTGGGGCCAAATGCTGCTTCCTGGGAAGAGAAAATGAAGGTCAAAGAGTGCCCTTGGCCATGATGATGCAGAGGTCATGTCAGAGGAGCTATTAATAGACTTGTGTGGCAGTGGTGCCAGATCAGAGTGAGTAGAGAGCAAATGGAAATGAGACAGTAAATACTGAAGGCATGCAACTCTTTCCTGGGTTTGGCTGTGAATGGTAGCTGACAGAAAAGATGGTAACTGGGGGGCAAGAAGAGATGAGTGGGGGTGGAGTGGGGGGAAATAATGTGGGGGTCAAGTGAGATATTTGGCGGTTATTAATATTGTTATTATTACTTTTAGGATGGGAATGCTGGAGCATATTTTAACACCTAGAGAAAGGATTTAGTAAAGAGAGAAAGACTGTTGATATGTAGAAGATAATCAACTGCAAATGATCTTTGATTAAGTGTGAGAGGTGGGTGCCAAAGCACATGAAAGATGGGCCTTCCAAGCCCTATGGCAGAGGTGCTTCCTCTGTTGTAGCTGGAAGAAAAGAGGAAGGGATGGGTATAGGTTCAGTCAGATACTGTGCTATGTTGGTAGAAAATTGTAAAAGCTCTTTTCTGAAGACTTCGTTTCCTTAAATAACAATGAGGAAAGTCATTTCTTGAAAAGAGGGGAGTGAAGGGGGTATGGAGACATCTGAGGAGAGTGATGATGGATTGAAATATGCTTTCAGCGTGAGAGAATGAACCAACTAGAGAAACATAACCTGCTAATAGTGTGAGGGTCCAATTTAGTGATCATAAATTTATAGTAGTACCTTCTGCTTTTTTGTGTATCAGCATTATTAAATGGGTTTAGCTGCCAGGTTCAAGCACAGAGACAGTGGATGATTTCATTTAATTAAGGTTGGGTTTTACCTGGAATTTAAGGTATTGTAGAAGAACTCAGCATATGGTGGCCACAATTGCTAACCATGCCAATCAAATTTTAGACACTAGTTTCGTAAATGAAGGAACAGTGTATAAACAATGCAGTCATCAAATTAGTGAAACATTTTACCAGCGGAAAACCTAAAGTTGGAAATCTACTTCCAAAGTTTTAAGTAGAATGACTTGGCTGAAAGGTTTTTTGAAGAAAAAGGAAGAGATGGACAGGAGGGGGGAAAAGATGGCAACATGAGAAGTGAGGCAGAAACCTCCTCCCAAAACCACATATAACATAAAAATACACCAATTACAACTAACCCTGAAAGAGTAGACCCGAAGACTGCAACAGACTGCCTACATCTGGGGAAAAGAGAAGACCTCACAAAAAAGGGTAAAGTAGCAAAGCCATGATCCGGCGGGACCCAAGCCCTCTCTCCACTCCAGCTCACAGACAGGAGGAAGAGAGATGGAGCTGGGAGGGAGTAGAATCTCAGGACTGCTAAACACCCACCCTTAGAGATGCTCTGGGAACATGAACCCACATTACATGGTGCTTTGGAGATTAGATGGGTTGGAAAGCAAAGACAGGCAGAATACTTGGAGAGACTGAGGTTCTAGCTGCTTGTAGAGAATAGGTACCCACAACCGGCTGCTCCAGGACAAAAGAAGGCGGGCACTTTGAAAGACTTCCCAACAATGAGAGGGGTCTTAAAGGGGGAAGGATTACATAGAGCTTGCTGCTCAGGAGAAAGGACAGGTGGACTAAATTGTCCTAGCACACTCATCCCAACAGGTTGAGAACTTTCAGGAGCTTCAGGTGATCCATTCCCCTGGCTGACAATGCAGCTCCAAGGCCCTCCACTGTGATACACAGCCTGCCAATCCTTCCTCCTGGCTGGCACCTGTCTGCACACCTGCTGCCCCTACCATTGTACCAGGCCAGCCGGAGGGCAGTGCCACCTGTGGCAACTATAACAATGTAGCATAGAGGCTTCTCCCTGCATGCTCAGCTCACTTGCCCTGACAGTGGAGACAGGCACTGCAGCCAGGAAGCAGGAAAGAACTTTTTACTCCAGGCAGGTACCGGTGCTGCATGCCTGCAACCCCACCATTGCCCCAGGGGTTGGGCATCTTTACATTGTGTTTGAAATAGCATATTAAGCAAGTTAAGTTAGTCTGTTAGATAGTAAAGAAACTACCCTTGAACCTTTGGTAACTATGAATCAAAAGCCTGAAATGGCAATAAGTACATATCTATTGATAATCACCCTAAGTGTAAATGGACTGACTGCACCAATCAAAAGACACAGAGTTACAGAATGGATAAAAAAGCAAGACCCATCTATATGCTGCCTACAAGAGACTCACCTCAAACCCAAAGACACACACAGACTAAAAGTGAAGGAATGGAAAAAGATATTTCATGCAAACAATAGGGAGAAAAAAGCAGGAGTTGCAGTACTTGTATCAGACAAAATAGACTTCAAAACAGAGAAAGTAACAAGAGACAAAAAAGGACATTACATAATGATAAAAGTGTCAATCCAACCAGAGGATATAACCATTATAAATATCTATGCTCCCAACACAGGATCATCTACATATGTGAAAAAAATACTAACAGAATTAAAGGGGGAAACTGAATGCAATGCATTCATTTTAGGAGACTTTAATACACCACTCACTCCAAAGGACAGATCAACCAGACAGAAAATAAATAAGGAGGCAGAGGCACTGAACAACACAGAACACCCAGCCCAACAGACATCTACAGAACAGTCCACCCAAAAGCAGCAGAGTGCACATTCTTTTCAAGTGCTCATGAAACATTTTCCAGAAGAGATCACATACTTGGCCACAAAAAGAGCCTCAGTAAGTTAAGAAGGATTGAAATTGTGCCAACCAGCTTCTCAGACCACAAAGGTATGAAACTAGAAATAAATTTTGCAAAGAAAACAAAAAAGCCCACAAACTCATGGATACTTAACAACTTGCTCCTAAATAATCAATGGATCAATGACCAAATAAAAACAGAGATCAAGCAATATATGAAGATAAATGAAAACAACAACTCAACATCCCCAAACCTGTGGGATGCAGTAAAGGCCATTCTGAGAGGAAAGTATGTTGCAATACAGGCTTACCTCAAGAAAGAACAATCCCAAATGAACAGTCTAAACTCACAATTAATGAAACTAGAAAAAGAAGAACAAATGAGGCCCAAAGTCAGCAGAAGGAGGGGCATAATAAAGATCAGAGGAGAAATAAATAAAATTGAGAAGAATAAAACAATACAAAGAATCAATGAAATCAGGAGCTGGTTCTTTGAGAAAAATAAACAAAATATGTAAATTCATAGCCAGACTTATCAAGAAAAAAGAGTGTATACACATAAGCAGAATCCGAAACAAGGATGGAAAAATCACTATGGACACCACAGAAATACAAAGAATTATTAGAGAATACTATGAAAAATTATATGCTAACAAATTGGATAACCTAGAAGAAATGGACAACTTTCTAGAAAAATACAACCTTCCAAGACTGACCTAGGAAGAAATAGAAAATCTGAACAAACCAATTACCAGCAATGAAATTGAATTGGTAATAAAAAAATCTACTTAAGAGCAAATCCCCTGGACTAGATGGCTTCACCACTGAATTTTATCCAACATATAGAGAAGATCTAATAACCATCCTCTTAACGTTTTCCAAAAAGTAGAAAAGGAGGGAATACTTCCAAACTCACCCTATGAGGCCAGCATCACTCTAATACTAAAACCAGGCAAAAATACCACAAAAAAAATATTACAGACCAATCAATATCCCAGATGAAAATAGAAGCAAAAGTGCTCAACAAAATATTAGCAAACCAAATTCAAAAGTATATCAAAAAGATCATCATGATCAAGTGGGATTTATTCTAGGGATGCAAGGTTGGTACAATATTTGAAAATCTATCAACATCATATAGCACATCGACAGAAAGGACAAAAATCACATGATCATCTCCATAAATTTTGAAAAAGCATTTGACAAAATTCAATATTCTCAAAAAACTTTCAACAAAATGGGTGTAGAGGGCAAGTACCTCAACATAATAAAGGTCATATACGACAAACCCACAGACAACATCATACTTAACAGTGAAAAGCTGAAAGCTGTTCCTCTAAAGTCAGGAACAAAACAAAGATGCCCACTCTCCCCACTTTTATTCAACATAGTACTGGAGTTCCTAGCCATGGCAATCAGACTACATAAACAAACAAAAAGATATCCAGATTGTTAAGGAAGAAGTTAAACTGTCACTGTTTTCAGATGACATGATATTATTCATTAAAAACCTTAAGGACTCCCCCCCCACAAAACTACTAGAACTAATAACTGAATTCAGCAAAGTTGCAGGTACAAAATTAATACACAGAAATCAATTGTATTCCTATAGACTAACAGTGAACTAGCAGAAAGATGAATCAGGAAAACAATTCCATTTACAATTACATCAAAAAGAATAAAATACCTAGGTATAAACCTAACCAAGGAAGTGAAAGAACTATACCCTGAAAACTACAAGATAGTTATGAGAGAAATCAAAGAAGACACCAATAAGTGGAAGTACATCCTGTGCTCATGGACAGGAAGAATTAATATTGTCATAACGGCCATCCTTCCTAAAGCAATCTACAGATTCAATGCAATTCCTATCAAAACATCAATGTCATTCTCCAACGAACTAGAATAAATGTTCTAAAATTCATATGGAACCACAAAAG